TAGGAAAGTAGAATGCTTCCTTTCATCTGACAATTTGCAACTAAATAGTGTAGTCAGTATTTATTAATTTATTCTTTTAGCTCATTATGTCGAAAAAAGAAAGTGGGGCACAGGGATGCAAAAGACGTGCACAATTTGCAGCTTCGATGGTGGAGTCAAGAAAATTCATGAGAGCTTTCCTTGCTGGAAGTGATGACATCAGTAAGCCAGCATCTGTTCCTTTTGATGGCAGCAAAGAGGTCAAAGTGCAAGATTGTGAACATACTATTTCATTTGAAAAAGAAAATGAAGAAACTGTTCTCTGTCCTGTTGAAAGCTACAATAATAATAAACAAGAGGATTCCACTTTGTCAGAAACACATCTACAGAATAGTGTTGCTAAGCTAAAAGAGGATGACCTAATAAATATTTTAACACAGAGAAATATTGGATTTATGAAGTTTGATACAACAGGCTCAGCAGTTGTAACACATGCACATTGCACAGAGATTGTTAAAGTTGGAGCACATGAATTTCGACATAAAGAAGGTCCATTTGATGCCAAAGATGGGCATTCTGTGATTGCATTTTGGTTGATGCCTTCTGAATGGACATGAGGTCAATCATTCCTGGTTGGTGTATTCACCTCTACATAAAGCAGCATACTGCTTTTGTTGTTTTCTTTCTTCATCAACATGTGTGAATCTGATAGTCAGTCTGCTTTCAAAACACAGGGTGGATTCTCTAAGTGGAAAAAAATTGAAAAGTTAAATGCCCATGAAAATAGTGACAGTCATTGTGAGCCATTTGCTGCGTGGAAAGAAACTGAGTGCCGAATTCATCTTCAAAGTGACATTGATGAAGAGCTGCAAAGGCAAATTCAGCAAGAAAAAATAAAAAGGAGAGATGTACTGCAATGGTTGCTGGATTGTATACAATACTTAGCTTCTAATAATTATGTATTTTGTGGTCATACTGAGGACATAACCTCAAACAAAAACTCTGGAAATTTCCTGTCACTTTTGCACTTTTCACCAATGATTGCAACTGATTTGCTAACATTTATAATTTCATTTGGTGAAGATGTTTTCCCAAATTTAAGAACTGCATTGCAGATTTTGTTAACAATTGGGGTTTCTATTGCTAGTTGTGAAAAGTCCTTCAGCAAGCTGAAATTAATTCTTACATATTTGAGAACCTCAATGACTCAAGAACGACTTAGTAACTTGGCAATATTTAGTATTGAAAAAGACGTACTTAATACCTTAAATTCTGATAGTTTAATTGATGCATTTGCAGCAGCAAAAGCACAAAAGGTGCATATAATGTAACCATGAATACCAGAATGCTAATAAAATTTTTTATTTGTAAACTTAAGTAGTATTTTATCAATCTGTTTTGTAATCCATGTACACCACAAGTGACTGGCTTCTCATATAACGCATAAGTTTCAAAACCAGGGATATAACAGAAATTTATTCTGCATGCTTGAAAGATTACTCTTTGAACAATACATGACATAAATATCAAAATGGTTTACAAATTATGTAAGTACACCTAGTAGGCTATACTTCATTAGTGTTCCAGGTTTACAGTTGTGATATCGTGAGATGTTATATTGTGACTTTATTTTAGGCCTGTGTAAGGTGGTATTTAATTTTTTATGTTATTATCATTAAGTGGGTAATGAGTCTCAAAACAAATAATCAAAACATTTCAGAGGTGGGGGCACCAAAAGTGTCTTTTCCCCCAGGTGCTGAGAACCCTTGCTATGCCACTGCTCCACATGTGGGCAAAGCAGAGGAGTCTGACCCTTACAGGACCTGAACCCACAACATACTCACTCAGACTGTTGGTTGCCCCTAGGATGGTGCTCCAAGAACCAACTGCAAACCTTAGGAATACGAGAGGCCAGAACCGGTAATAGAGAGGAATGTGAGACACAGGAACAAGTTCAGGAGGGGGTTTGTATAAACAGGAGGCCAAGGAGGAAAGGGAGGTATGCAACTGTGCCAAATCAACTCTGGTTTCTAAAGAGAAAGTTTGGTTGGAGTTTATCGGCACAAAGCAACTATGCTATCTGCACTAAACAACCAGTAAATATGGTGAAGTAAAATACAATAACATGTAAAAAGAAAAAAGTTAAAATGCTCAAAAATTAGGTAAAAAAGTAAATAGAAAGAAAAGGGCCATTGGCCCACAAAAGGCTAAAAAAACAATCAAGTTGCACAGTGTCATCATCACCAATGACAACATCCAATGTCAGGGGCAAACCCTTATAAAATACATGTCTAAAATGGTGCCATCGCTCACATTCGTAACAACGACACAAATGTAAAATATGGGCAATTGTGACAAAACTATGGGTTAAAAACTGTGACCATTGTTTATCTAGCCAAGACAACTGTACAGAGTCTTCAAGGCATGGTCGTTTACCAATGAGCAAAGTTTATTTGATTTGTTTTTAAGATTTGGGGCATCCATATTAAAAAGAGGTAGATTCAGTGCCCACTGACCCCACCCACCATGGGATGCACCAGAATGCTATAGTAGTGCACTGTAGAGACACCAGGGTTTCGTGGGCACTATACCCAAACACCAGCATCAGACACAATGTTCACAACATCAAACACCGGTACTTAGTTGACCCTAGCCCAACAGGACCAACCAACTGACCCTGGGGGAGCCACCCCAAGGCTACCCATCTACAGGAATTCAAGACCAAAGTGATGTGTTGAAGTGCCATCAACATAAACTGATCCATCAATGACACCCCTCAACCACCAGGATCCTCCCTTCCTCTTCACGAGATGCCATGTACAGCAAACATATGGGTGGATGTTCAGATCCCAGAGGAGGTAAACTGAAGATACAGAACCTTCCCTTGGAAGTCCCCTCACCATGTACAGGAATTCACCTGGGGGGGGGGGGGGTGCAGAAAAGTAACCATGTACAAATCACACAATGAGAAGGGAGGCAAATGCTCACAAGATAAAAGGGCATCCTGACCCAAAAGGTCCTAACAACAGAGGAGCCATGTTTGCAAGGAAAGGGTGGAAAAGGAGAGGCATGTCAAAGTAGAAAACAGTTTTTTCGAGTCATCCCCGAGAACCCTCAGGGGAATGATGAAGAGCCTTGGATAGTAGGTGTAGGGAGGACAGGGAATAAAAAAAAAGGAGGAAAGAGTGAGATGAATTTGGGAAAACTGGAGTTGGGAGAAGGGAACCAAAGTAATGGGGTCTGAACCCCACAAAGGGACAAGCAACTCTAAATGCTGCAAGACTAAGTAGGGAAACTCAGAATGATGATATACCAAAGTATGGTCTTCCAGAATATGTGGGGGGTCTTGACATACTGACACCCGAATGTAATTGGTCCCCAAAACAATTCGCATGAACCCCAATATTAGGTGACGGAGGTAACACTATTCCCACTGGCTTGTCACTGAGAAAGGCAGGTGAGGCATCATAGGAAATGGAAGACAAGGATAAAATATATCTGACTGATTAAGTCTACAAATGGTGAAGGAGGCCTGAGCACATCTGCTGAAAGGAAATGCAATTGTGAGTCATAGGCAGAAAGAGTAAACAGGCTGTCAAAATCCTCATCCTCACAGTCAGGCATACCCACACATGGTATGAGAGGATCATCATCAGGCGACTCAGAGGAATGCTTAAAGGTAGCCAACTCCCTATAAACCACAGCCATTACTTCCTGAGCAGATAAAGCTTGCCTTGATGCCTTGGAAGTGGCAGGATGATCAACTGTAGTAGTCACAGAGCAGTGGTAGTTGCCACATGGAATTGAGAGTGCATGATGAGTGGACTTAACTGGGAAAAATGGAGAATTGAAGCTTAAAAAGCAATTCCAAAACAGTGAAAAATCAAAAAAAAATATGGTGTGAAAACCTAGTAATAACATTTTAAACTTGAGCAAGAAAAATGATGAAAAAGTAATTGAAAACAATCAGTAGGAAAGCATGAGCTAAAACACATTTCATCAGTATGACAACCAATTGAAAAGTGATTACAGGCTGCATGGAAGAGAAAGCACTAGTTACAATTGGAGTTGTGTCGCACTCTTACTGGTGGAGGGTTGTTACATGATCATTTGCATGATAGTATGCAGATGTCTCACATGAATACATGTAAAAGTAGGTGGGAGTCTCAAAGCTAGTGGCAAGAGAAAATTTGTGCCTATAGAGGTCAGTATAAATTGAGAAAAGCTATTTGTGAGAAGAGGTAATATATCATATCAGAATTTTATGTTTCTGTTAGTACTTCAATTGTTATATGCTTGTTACATACACATTTGTGACACTGATAGTTTCAATCATTTTTATTCTTAGTACTTAACAATATGTCGTATTTTATTAATAACGTACTACTTACAGTAGAATTTCTATTTATCAAAAAGTTAAAAAACATCAAATTATCAAGTATATATATATATATATATTTGATACAAGTATGCAATACTAAGTGTTAAATGTACTTAATAACAGCAACTTGCAGATACTAATCTTCCCGAGTGTCCCAAAAAGTGTTAATCATGGTGGCACAGGTAAAATGCTTAGGATCATACATACTTGGTTCACAAAAACTTTTCACATTCAAGAGTACAATTCTACCATGGATAAACTCATGGCTGGAGAATTCTGTTAAGTTTGCCAGAGTGAGAGGTATAAAATGAATGTGGTATCTTTTACAGAAGCTTTTTATAATGAAAAATCGCAATGTTGGAAAATAGCGTTTAGTAATGTTCATCAGACTGAGCATGATCAATAGTGTAGACAGTAGTTCCAAAGACAGCATGAGACTTTGGAGATTGTTATTATAAAGTGCAATTAACCCTTGTAGTGAATTAATGTGAATAAGTACTATCTTTTTATAATTTCAAATTACAAAATCTTATTCATTCATGATAACTTCCTTTGCACACATTTTTGTATTTAAACTGATAAGTAAACTCCACATCTAGACCTAAGCAAAGGAAATTAAGAAAATCAACAGCTGGAGTACCTAAATTTCCAACTCTTCCAGTACGGCCAATGCGATGAACGTATTCTTCAATATCACTTGGAAGATCAAAATTTATCACATGCTTTACATTTGGGATATCTAAGCCTCTTGCAGCTACCTGTAATTAACAACAAGAAATAAACAGAAGTATTTCCTATGACATTTTAAAATAACTTCACATGAAAGAACCAGAAAATCATCAAAGTTCTATATAACGTTACAAATTCAAGCATAATATACACTTATTTAAAACAGCATATTCATACTTGCACTGAATTCTATCACTTACAGCTGTGGCTACAATAATGGGTGTGCGACCTGATCGAAAAGACCACAAAGCATCCTCTCTTTCTCGCTGAGATCGATCACCATGTATGCTAGTGACAGGGTATCCCTCTTCTGCCAGGAAGTGTTCCAGTGAATCTGCACCTTTCTTAGTTTCAACAAAAGTCAAAGTAAGAGAGTTTGGAGCTAAGACAAAAAAAAAAGAAGAAAAACTGTTAAAAATTCTACATAATAATACTATTTAAGTGCAAATACTGAAATAAACATAAAAAATAAAGTAGTTTCGTCAATAGCTTTTCAAAAGTGTAGAGATCAATCAAGCAAAGTAATAACACCTGTTTATAGCAATGTAAAGTTCTCAAGCATCTATGACATCTGTGCTTGAAGTGTTATTCTTTGGATTAACTCTTTCAATAAAGACACCCTTTTCTGCAAATGTCACGAGGTTTTACTGAGTTACGTTCCAAATTTAATTAAACTACTGTATTATCATGGTATACAAATAAACTTAGCATCAAAACTTAGCTAATAAATCAAATGTTAATATTATAAGTTTTAAGTTCTTAATTTTATAAAGAAATTTATTTTAAATCCACAATATACCCTAGTATGAGAATTGTGACATTTGCTCTCCAGGTCTTCCCTCTTATCTAATTTATTTACCACCCCTCCAAGAAGTATGGAATTTAACATAATTACTCAGTATAATATAGTTATTGCTCAGGCAATGCATAAATTTCATAGCCTTCAATCTTATTTGGTTACAGAGCCATAAACTAGAAAATGTGATCCCTATTGCCACACCAACATCCTCTCTTTCACAAATTACCAAAAGTTCTCTCTAATGTTTTATACTATATTATTTATAACAAATAGAAAGCCAAAATTTTAATCTATCAAATGACATATTATATTACATTGTTTTCTGTACAGAGAATTGTTTATATTGCTTCCAGTTCAAAATTTATTCCCACAGGAAAGTCATCAATGAACTCAGCTGAATTTTAATTTCAACATGAAATCATTATGCATTTGGAGCAGTCAACACCTTGACTATATATATTCATAGAGAAAGTATTAGGAAAAATTCCATTTTATTGTCTACAAATGATAATAATTATTGAAAGCTTGTAAATTTCATGAAGATACACAAAACATATTACAAGTTATAGTATGGAAGCTCTAAAGGTCAATTTGGAGTCATGAACTCTGCCAAACTGACCAAGCCCATACCATGAGAGTGAAAAATATGATAAAAAGTACCTTGATGAAATCTTTATTATGCTTGAAATAGAACAATAACACTTAACATTGACTATGTTACATCATGAAACTTTAATTCAATAAAACAAATTTTAAAATATTAGTACTGCTATAATTTTCAATTATTTCACTATTTTTGCTTTACCATAGAAAACATAAGTTCATCACAATACAGCATATTAGAATATTTCAAACAAGTCACAATAGAAACTTCAACACATCCTAGTAAACAATCTGAAAGTCTTACAGTATTTGTGATTCTGTATTCAGTGTAAAAAACAATCCTACAGAAACATACCATCACATGCACCTAATCTGACACACATTTCACCACAGAAATTTAGCAAAACTAAGTCCATATTTGCTAACTGTGCTCATCCAACAGCACATACTTGTACCTGTTCTAAAAACAAAATGTACATAAACAAAAGAAAAAAATCAAACAATAAAAGTAAAAACAATACTTTCAAAACTAATGATTGCGTTTCATGCACTTTTGTTATTGTGAGCTCCCATCAATGATAGCCCTGCATAGTTCATATACAAGACTTTTAAATCAAAAACTTTAGAATTTGAAAATTTGTGAAAGAAAAAGTATGATGATAAGCACATCATCAATAGCTTTCTGTAATTTTCTCATTTATATACTCAGTTTCCTATCTAAACAACCATGTACAATTTTCTCTCAGAGGTATTACCTGCTTATGTAACCAAAAAAAGATATACTTGCACTCATTGTTAAGTAAATGCTGGCAACTGAAATGAAAGTAATGTATGTATAGTTTACGCAGACTAATGGAAAAACAAATATGCTGATTTGAACAGAATTTGACTCCATCCAAATTCATACCTATTATTTTATTACATTTTATAAAATATTCATATTCAGCTAGGCTGGATCAAATTTGAACTTCTCTGGCATACTTTGACTAACACCTAAGCTATAAGGAAAGTACTTATTCAAGCCAAATAAAGGCAATAATAAATTCATTGTCACTTACAGTTCCCCCAGTATATTTTAACTTTTTCCAACTTCAGTTTAATAAGATGTAAAAAAACTTTTTGAGCCTGACTCCCAAATACTGCACTTGGGCAGAGCTAATAACTCTAGCAGGTAACCAGAACCCAATAATATTTATTGAACATATTATTTCAGCTTTCCAATAAAACAAGTTAACTAAACAAGTACTTGAACAAACATCATGCCACATCACTACACCAACCAAGGCAAGATCCCCACACTCATTCTTAAGGAGACTACTCTCATATTGTTGAGAACATTAACAATGTTGTATATCTTGTAGTTTTCACACACATTTGCATTAATTATTTATTAATGTTTTTTGCAGTTTGATGTTGCAATTCCACTTAACAAAGAACTTTTCAGAGAATGGAATTTTTGGAAGGCAATAAATATTTTATACTTCAACACAGTGTTCAGCCTGTAAGTTTTTTTTTTGTAAGATAATTTTATTGTCAAGGGTTCTGTCACATGTATTAGTCATTAAAGTGTATGTTGATTACAAGTAAAATCATGAACCAATTTCCTTAAGACTTTTATGGATTTCATATTTGAAAGAAAATATAACACAGAGACAAAACTATATAAGTAACATACATCACAATACTGTATGAGCATCCCCTGTTTAGTGCAGTTAATAAGTATCTGAAAAATTCTGCGTTAAATGGAAATTAATTTCTTATAGGAATACATGTAATAAGGGAGGGAGGGGGTTGCATTCCTGACAGAAAATTTTCTGGATATAAAAATTCTTAAACGTGTTTTATGGTATTAATTAGGTACTCAAACATTAAAGTATACAAAACATCATATAAACCTGAAAATAAGAGCATACTACTGCAACACAGGCACAGAACAATGCTATCATGAGATAAACCCCTTAAAAGACAATTATTTCTAAAGTATTCATTAATGTGGCCCAGAATATCACTACCTAGACTAGTCACAGTATAAATAGCAGGTGACTTAATCAAGTATAAACTGATGTCTTTAATGGCAAATATTTGACTATTTCATACATGGTAGATAGATTTATGACACATTCTATTATGTTGTTGCTGTTTGTATTTGCATTTCTCTCTCTTACATTTTATTAACAAATTTTAGGCAATAACTGATGACAAACTTAAGCTAGAAACATTGTAATTTTGAAGTGTTTATGCTGAAGATAGAATTAAGAATATTCTGAAATGCCCATGTTCTTTATTCTACCAACAATTTTATGATTTTCACCAAATGAGTCTTGTTTTATGAATAATAATATAATTTCAGCAGTAGTAATGTGATACCTGTTTCACTTACAGACAGAAATACATAGTTCAAAATGTGTTAAAATCAGTGTTGCTAAGTCAACACATTTCCCGTCATACTAGTCACATTTTCTAGATTGTTTTTTGCAAAATTAAGATAAACAGTATGGCATGGCTTGTCATAAATAGAAAAGGGGGATATAGGAATGATGCAGTTGAACTATAAAAGGACTTTTCCAGGACCCTCCTAATAAAAACTATTGATTTTCTAGGAATTCTAATATCAATATTATTATTTTTTTAAATATAAAACCCCGTGTATGGGTATTTATGTGTAAGACTTTTAGAACAACTACACATACATTTCACCAATCATGTATAATGTGACTTGTAAATAGATGAGCATATTATAAAACTCAACAAGTTGATAAAAATCCTAAATAACTAAAGATATCTAAAAAAAAGAATAATGGTATAAGCTTACGTGCACTGCCATTTCTTAGCCCTACAGCATTCAAGAGATCTAACAAAAATGACCGCTTATCAAGCTCATCAACCCATACAATTTTCTGGGTAATATTTTCTGAAGTACTTCCAACACGTCCAACAGCAAGAAATATATAATTATCTAAAAAGTTTCTGGCCAATTCCTAGAGGAGAAAAATAACAACACAAGTTAAAATTTCCTTATTTCATGTTCTCTAGAGAAAGAAGAAAAATTTATAATAACGTAATGATAAATATCCAATTCATCCTGAGAAAATTTTTAAAGAAATTATTACATTTTTTAAGTTTAGCAGGGGAAAAAAAAACTTCAGAGATGAAGTAGAATTTATCTTGTGCCTAAGATTTATATGACATGCTTTACTAGACTTCAAAGAAATGATTACATTTTTCAAGCAGTAACATTAACATTGCATAATTTGGGTATAACCATTACAAATATATATACATACAATCATATATTAGTGAAAATTCTGGAGAGCAAATGAGAATGAAAACTGGTGAAGGAATATATACACACACACACACCTGCACTTTCTTTGGAAATGTTGCAGAAAACATCATTGTCAGCCTTGATCCTGTTGGTGTCATGTTGTCTTCTAAGACAATGCGACGAATCTGTGGTTCAAAACCCATGTCTAACATACGATCTGCTTCATCCAATACCAAATATCTGGAGTAAAAAATAAAATGTATTTATCAATGAGTTGTATGCTCATGCATACAAAAGCAGCAGAAACAACAAAGAGTAATACTAAATCTTACAATTTGAGTCTTAACAAACCATAATTAAGCTAGGTGCAAATAATGAAGAAAGATACCAAGGAGAATAAGTTCCTTGTCATAAGAAATTAGAGTTTGGACACAATAGTGGGAACACCTCACCAGGTGACAGTTCAAAACTTATTTCACAAGACCATTATTTTCCTTTTTACAAGATTAGCCTTACAAAGCCACTTTCAACAAATAAATCCACTGTTTTATTCTTGTCCACTAACCATATTTATTGTATTACAAATGCTCTGAGTTATGATAAAGAAAATTATTTTTCATAAATATAATTTTGATTTATCAATCTTAAGTGTACTTGATAAAACTGAAACAACAACTACACTCACAAGCCTACTGTATCCCCACCCTTAGTAGTCTTACTAGTAATCAGCCATATTTTCCCAACAGTATAATATTTTGAAGTTTGCATGCTCAACTAAGACTAACTATAAACTAAACTTCATAATTTTCATCTATTTGAAAGTTGTTCTAAAATTATCTATCATTTATTTTTACCTTTCATAAATTTGTATGGCATTTGGCTAAAATAAGTTACAAATTTATACGATGTATTGTTTATGTGATTGCATTTTGACTCTTGAAAACTTAAGAGTGATATTAAGTCTTAATTACTTTCTGTATTAAGTTTAAATTTAAACTTTTGCATTATAAATAATTTAGTATATTTTTAGTAGTTTCTGTTTGTAGATAAGCAAAAAAAAGCTACATAATGGGCTGTCTGTGCTGTGCCCACCACTGGTATCAAAACCCAGGTTTTAGCATTATAAGCCTTCAGACTTACTGTTGAGCCAATGGGGGGGGGGGGCATTTGTAATAGTGAAATTAGCAATAGCAGAAAGCATCAAGTCAAAGTTATGAACTTGTAGGTAGTTAATTCTACCAATCATGAACATTACCCTTTAACATAAGCACTTTTTTCTTCCTGCAACTGAGAGGGATCAGACAAACATACTAAACTTGATTCTAAAGACATGAAATTTGTATAAATCCTCAAAGCACTGAATATCATGTAACATATGACTATCCTAATATCACTGACTCTTGAATGAAGGAAACCAGATAACAAAAGAAAAACTTTAAAGTTGAAACATAATTTATTTTGTGCCTAAGATTTCTATGACATTTTTTATTTGACTGAAACTATATTATACAGTTGCACTTCATTAAGTTGGAATATAAAATATAACATTTTCTCAAGAAAACAACTACTTCACAAGTTCCAAGCTAATTTTTCCACGTTCCATCATGTCTACCAGTCGTCCAGGTGTTGCTACTAACAAATGGCAGCCTCGATCTAAGTCATTCATCTGTTGAACAGGGTCAGCTCCACCATAAACGACACATGGTTTTACACGAGAGCGATAAGCAAATTTCAATGATTCATCATATATCTGACAGGCTAGTTCTCTTGTTGGTGAGAGTACCAGTGCCAATGGATACTGTTTGATCCGAGATGAAAACTTTTGTGGCTGTAATAAAGATAGAAGCATGTTCACAAAAATTAATAACTGTAACAGGTACCAAAAGAGCTATTTATATCAAAGATATGATATTGTGATTTTTTTTTGTGTGTGTATGCTCTAATCAATCAATCATTTTTCTAGCATTTTTGATTGATAATGTATTTTTTATTATATTTTACATAAGATTTAAAGACATTTTTATATATAGAATATTTAGTATGTTTTAAATTATTAAAGAGAAACTTACTTCTGGTAAATTCTTTGGTGGTCCGTTTTCATATATGTGGTTAAGAATCGGCACCAAAAATGCTGCAGTTTTCCCAGAACCTTGGAAAAACAATCAAGAAAAGAACTTTTAAGCAAATATTAAGAAATGAACCCTTATTTTTAAGTGATCAAACTTCCACTTATAGAAAAAAACATTGCTCTAATATTTTTAATGTATATATATTTAAGGTTCCTGCATTTCAAATTTCCACATATGAAGTTATGCATAGGAGTTACACATTAACCCTCTCTCCACAGGCATCTTTTTTCTGTGCATGTCAAAAAGTTTTAGTTAAGTTACATTCAAAACTTAATTAAACTACTTTCTTTTCATGGTATATCAATGAATATATAGCATAAAAATGTAGCTAATAATCCATATTTTAATAGTATATAAGTTTCAAGATCTTACTTTTATAATGCAATATTAACAAAAAATCTAGAATTTCCCCAAATGTGAGAATTTTGATATTTGCTCTCTAGTTTATTTTCCAGTTTAGTTACCATTCCTCCAAGAAGTAATGAATTTAATGTAAATTACTCATTATAATATTGTCATTGCTCAGGCAAAGCATAACTTTCATAGCCTCAAGTTCATTTGGTTACAGAAACATGATAAACAATCAGACTCCTCTTGCCATGCCCACCTGTCACATCCTCTCTTTCAGAAATTGCCAACAGTTCTCTCTGATGTTCAATGCTATAGTATTTATAACCAAAACAAAGCCAAGGTTTTCACCTATCAAATGACATATTATGTTGTTTTCTGTAAAGAGAATTGTCAGTTTCGCTTTCAGTTCAACCTTTATTCATACGGGAAACACATTGACAAACTTAGATGAAGTTTTAACAGCTCTTTTCACATAGTTAAAAGCCAAAAAAATTGACATTTATGGGATGTTGTCTGCATTTTGGACATTATTATTTTGTGTTATTTAGTGCATTAATTAGTTAAATAAATAATTATTTATTGCAGTACTAACATTAGTATAAAAAAGTAGGGTTAAGTGTCATTGACTGTCAACAGCAAAAAAAGAAGAAAAAAAAAACGACTCAGGTAAGTACTTTATTTCTGGTTTTTCATATGTATTCTTTATTATTATTATAAAAGTAACTGAAATATAAAAATAGGAAACTTTTTATGTTAGATTGGGTGAAATAAATAATAATATAAAAATAAATTTTTTTCATGAAGTACACCCAAGAGTAGCTCCTGCATAATGTAATTCGGTAACATAAAGTGAGCTGCACTTTTACCAAGTGATTTACAACTTATAAAGGTTGCAAATAGTAGTTAGACAGGGTTCAAAGGACAATAACTACATTTTAATCAAATTTTGAATGTAACTCTCTAAAAGGTTGTGACACGCACACTTTGACCTCCCCATAGAAAGAGGGTTAAGAAGGGTCGTAATAACTAATTTGTATTTATATTACATATCTAGCTTTCAATTAGCTTCTCTCAGGATCAAAGCTAGGATAAATATAATTGTACCATTGACTAAAGTTTTTCTTCTAAATTTACTGATTACGCCCAGTTTAAGTATCCAATGGATATTTAATTCAAGTTATTGTATTTTTCTTTTTTAATAATTTGCATTAATAACATGCTCATACTGTTCTTTTTTTTGTACAACTTTATGATTTTCCTGCTATATTGTTATCCTCATCACTTGCTCTGCATTGACTGAAAAAATTATAATGGCGTTTGAAGGAACATTTGTTTAATGATGTAGTTTGCTGTAACTTTTCAAATGATCATGTCAATACATCATATTAGTATTCTTTTTTTTACAGTTACATCATTTTATTTTCTGACAGGTTTAGACAACTTTTGATCAAAACATGTAAAAGTGGATCTTTCTGCTGTACTTATCAATAAAATCATTAGCATCAACATGATAATTATTTCTCATTCTATCATGGAGGAAATAAGTAAAATTTTACATTATCAGAAAAAGTTGAATATTATGGTAAATACAAACAAGAAAAAACTTCACTTGGGACCACTAACTTTTATTTAGAAATGACAATTACCTGTTTGAGCACATGCCATCAGGTCCCTTTTGGCTAGGATAATTGGAATGGCATATTTCTGCACAGGAGTGGGCCTTGTGTAACGAGCTAATTTAATGTTATTAGCTATAATTTCTGTCAAGGAACAATCATCAAACTAGAAGGAGAAAAACTAATAGTAGCATATCAAACGAATTAGCTCTTGCATAATATGAAGGAAAACTCCACACTTACAGGTGGTATTACAAAGTGATTAAAGGAAAACTAAAATTATTCCTTATTTACTGATTGTTTAATATTGTGTTTCCTTATCAAGGCTATCCTTCAAAGCTTAAAATAACAAACGTACTAATATTTTAAGAGACAAATCTTGGTCAACAACACAAAGATTAAAAAAATAAACAGTCATTCGTAACTATTTTTGTTCCTCCTGTAGATCACTTAGATGAATATTTTACAACATTCAAAGACATAATTCAGATTGATGACATGGGAAGAAAATGGTTTAAAAATAATACATTAAGATTTAAACGGTTAAACTAAACTAAAATTATTAATTCCAAGGGAAAGTATTGTATAGATCAGCATTTCTCAACTTTTTTGGCACAATGACACACAGCTTAAAATATTAAGGCACACTAAAAGACATAGCAATACAAACATTTATTTAGAATTTTTGATTATACATGTATTATTCATATAATTAGTGGGATATTTGGGCCTGCTTTGCTGCAAGTAGACGCTCAGTTTGAGGCCTGATAGTGCTTATAGATACTCGTAGAGATTTGAAATTTTTTCCTTATTTTTGAAAGTAAGACTCTAACAAGTCTAACGAATAAAATAAAAATAGATAAAATTACCCATGAAAAGTAGAAATATGCAACATACTTGGTCAGCATAATGGCACACCGACAGAGAAACACTGGTATAGCTGTTTATGTCAATTTAGTTAGAATGTTTAATTTTAACAAAAGCATCATAAAGCTCAAGGAAATTATTTTAAAACTGCTGCAAAATTTACTATAATTGCTTTAAGTATATAGTCAGATAACTTCTGCATATGCGTGATTTTTTTATTATAAGGAATATCTGAAATTATCATCTGTTACTCTACTTTCAATGCCTACCTAATCATCTCAATATCAATCACAATTTTGTTGTCTGTCCCAGTTTTAAAATGTATTTCTATTCACTTATAATTACTAAAATCAAAATAACAAGTTATTTGTATTTACAACTTCATAGGATCATTCTATACAAATACCCAATGATGATCTCTGGTCCAAACAAACAAAAGCATTGTATGTATGTGTGTATATATATATATATATCTATCAACAATATACTTGTATTTATAAAGGTTCATTTCTGAAAAAATTAGTACACATATTAATGAGTAACTGAGGCTGACAAAAAGTTTTTAAAACAGTTACTTGCAAATAATTTGCAACTAATTTTACAAATAACCAGAAAAAATAAATAAAACATACCGAGTTGATGTGCGATGGACAGTCACCTCCTGTAGCTTCCACTGGTATATCTTCATACTTGTCAAAATTGATACCAGTGTGGCTATTTCCAAACAGCTGTCTGTGAAAAACAAATTGGTCAAAACCAAAGGTGAAAAAAAAAAAAAGAAAAAAGACTGAAAACTCAAAAATATATACAGCAGGTAGCTCTTCAATTAATTCTGACTAATGGTTTAAGTAAAAAAATATGATATGGAACCAAGTACTCATATTTGCTAAGTGCAAGATATAATAATAAAAATGATCTTAGAATAACAGAACCACATTTCTTGATACAAGTATAATGTTATTTCTAGACAAAAATACAAAAAGTACAATTGTTTATAGACAGAAGAATACCCAAATATAACTACAACAGTGTTTTAGATTAAGTAATAATCTGAACAAATGTAGATTTGTTTCTGCTGACACAGTAATAATGACTGTTATAAACACACTGACTGTGTGTTCTATCATGATGAATTACATGCAGGGTCTTATAAAAAACTGCTATAGTGTATTATTTCACAAGAATGCAAGGATGTAGCAGTAAGTTTTTAAAAGATTTTGGAAAAAAGTAAATTATAAACTGGAGATCAATTCTTGAGTCATAAAAGAAACATGAAAAATCACCTCTCCAAGTAATCATCCTTAGGTAAAGGATGACTCCAATCAATATCACCATAGTGGTCATTTTTACGACCACCATTTCTTCGGTCCCAAGAACTTCCTCCATGTCCTCCCCCTCTATCTTCACGACTTCCAAGTTTTGGGGCACTATCTGGGTCACGCCAATTTCTGTCACTAAAATAATTTTAAACTGAAAACTGCAAAACTAACAAGCATTGTTTATTCATTACACTCAATTTGAGGGAATATATAATATACTAAAACTACACTACAGTAATTAATTCAAACTTTATTTTCACTTCTAATAACTCAAGTATGTATGTCACAACCACTTACTATTCTCCACGTCGTGAAGATAATCCACTACCTCGATTATCACTATTTGACCTTCTATTTCTATTCCCAAAGTTAGAAAAATCACCACGGTCTCTGCTCCCACCTGTATTGAAAATAACATTAAACAAACACATATACATACATACAAAAGATTAATACCACAGTTTTCCTATGTACATCTAAATATATAACCTACATATGAAACAACTTTTTTGTAAATTACCTTAAAAGTATTAGGTCATCAAGAAATTAATGTAGCGTTTTGGAACACTTTCTTACCCCCCTCCCCAAAAAAACAACAACTTACATCATGTATAATAGATAAACGAACCACCTAAATGTCAGGTTATTGTAGCCTATATAATGTGTAAAGTTTAGTATACTTTAATTCCTCATGGATTCTCTGTGCAAATATTAAATGCCAAAAACAATGGCTCAGTCCTAGATAAAAACCACTTCTGACCCCAAAACCTGGACTCCATCCGCAGAAAGTGATGCTTTGCATTTGGTGGGACATCAAAGGAGTAATTCGTTTCAAACTCCTCAATCCAGAGTGAACTGTCAATGCAGAGACCTATAGTCAGCAACTGGAATGTTCAAATCAAGCCCTTCACTCATCAATCAGAAAGGTGTTCTTCTCCACAACAATGCACATCCACATGTGCCACATTTGATGCAACACAACATTATGGAGTTGGGTTGGAAAGTTCTCCCCCACCTACCATATTCTCCAGATATGGCAACACCAAATTTATGGGAAAATGTATGCAAATGTAAATGGTGTTAAAGAGGACATCAACATTTTTTCTTCAGAGCCAAGTGATTTCTTTAATCAGGGCATTAACGACCTGATTGTAAGATGGAAAAGCATCATCGATAAGAATGGAGACTATTTCATTTAATAAACGTTTTATTTTGATATACAAGTTGCTCAGGTTTTTTTCAGAAAAAAAGCGACATTAACTTCTTGACAACCTAATACATAGTAATTTCAGCTAAATTCTTTAATTTGTCTTTTCAGTAAGGCTTTTGATAACTTTCAAGTGAATATTTGAGTACAAATCTAATTTCTGTCTGTCACATAACTCAAATTAAAAAATCACTACAAAAGCTAGAAATATAAGAATGTGAATTCAGATCAGGCTTGGCTTGAGTTTTTGATTTTCAAGAAAAACATCCTGTAAAACATATGAATTATTTGCAGTTTTTACACAATCTTAAACTTTTATATAATTAGCAATTGCCATTAACCCTTTCGCAATGGGTGGGTCTAACTGAGCATGTCTTGGTCTGTTTACAATTTACTTTCAAAACTTTATTAATACTATATATTAATGAAATTGGCATCAAAACGTTGCTTTATATTTCAAATTTTAATATTATGTATGTTTTAATTTTTTAATTCAAAATAAAATATAAATAAAACAAAGCTAAATATTGATTTGTGTGTGTCACATAGCACCATCCTCATGTATTATTGCCCAATTTAAATTTTGTTTACACCTACTATATACGTCTACAAGTGGTTAACGAATTAAAAACATGAATTTTAGATACTGTCAAGCTAGAATATAAACTTAGAACCTCCAACCACTTTGATTTCCTGAGAAATCAATACATCTAGCAAATCAACTAGAGTAGTGCCTCCTCCTACTGCATTCTTTCCAAACCACTTTAGTTCCACCTACTTTTCTTAAGGGTCTGTTTATAATCAATAGAAAGGGCAAGTTGTGCTTTACGTGATTCTTACAGTTGTTTGTAAAAGAGCTTGGAACAGAAAATAATAATTTCTCCAAGATTGTTGAATGGTGATGACCAAGTTGCTTTGAACGGATATAAAATATTTTTAAACACGTATATACTTTATTTATAAACCGAAGCAAGTTACAGATGTTTTGCGTGTACTAGTAGAGTAATGTAATATATTTTCTTTTTTTCTAAAATGCATATTTGAAGCCTACAAAAATTATATTTCTTCACCCTACACTTGATAAAATAAATGAGGATTAGCACTAAAGGCACACGAGAGCAAAATATTTTTCTATCACCCTAATTTCTCATAAGTATTAGAAATCATTGTTTTTCTATGTAACTTTCAATTATTATTCATGTTTTAAGAAAAATAACTAAAATTTAAGCATCTATGAGTAAATACACTTTAGCTGAAAAAATAAGAATGTTTTCCAAAGAAGACTACACACTTACGAGGTTTGCAAAACTAAATGAATGTGATAAGTAGTGCTGAAACTAGAATTTTTATTAGTTGACGAATAATTGCTGAAAAGTGAAATAGGATTTTATAAGCATGTGTTTAAATAACATCTTTGTACACCTATGCTGCTAATTCCAAACACCTCAAAAGGATTACCAATAATCAAAGAATTGCAAAGTTTATTGTATCAGCACCAAATCACATAATAAATGTTTTGACAGGTTTAAAGTACAGTGTTGTTACTTTCGAAAAAGTCTTGTTGTGAACACTGTAAGATACATACATAAGCCTATAAATTACACATCCTGTTGTTGGCATAAACGTTTTCCCTGATTCTAAGTGCAGTGTCATTACTCGGAATTTTCCTTTAAAACATTTTAGCATATATAATCTGATACACGGAGCAGGGGTCGAGTTGATTGTCTTTTCGCGCATGCTTTGTTGCTTTCAGGATTATCATATTACGGTGGTGTCACGTAAACAGTCTACTGACACAAGCAGCGATTTATTGGTTTATTTTCAGTGGGGTTCTACTTTAGTCATTGACAGTAAAATAAACACAGAACATAAACGTGAAATGTTTAACAGTTCAAAGTCGTAAGAGAAGTACTTTGAAACTTCGTGAGAAATAATAATGAAAAAAAGGCATAGCCGCTCCTTTTATTTCTAATTTTACAACTTGTATTTTCATTATAGTTTTGGGATTTCTCTACAGGCTGAAGACTCAAGTATATCATTAAATAACTGATAAGATACAGTTTTACTGAAAACAAGTGTTTGAAATGTATTTAGGAAGTTTTAAAAATTACACAAAAGAAATTTTAGATTTTTGGGATGAAGAATAGTATATTTAATCCTAACATGAAAATCACTTCCAACTCGGAATAGTAACGAAACAGACTAGACATATTCACAAAGAAATCTTTAGTAAAAATACTTATTTAAAAAATATGATTTTTTGTGTACAAAAGACTTGAAATGTTTACTAAAGGTATACCAAATTTTTTGAAGATGCACGTACTGAATTAAAAGTTGTAGTATAAACATTTAACGTGTATACAAACTTGTGTATATTTTACCAAGCCCATTACAAAATGGTTAATAGGAGGAAAAACAAATCTCTTTCTATTCAGTGTGATATAGTTTGACTCAGCCACTTTTTATCACAACATTTATGCTTTGCCAATATACCTCACATTTTACACAAATTTTTAACATCAACATACATTTGAAAACTTAATCATTTCAGTACCACATTTAACTTTAAATGTTCTTTATATCTTCAGAAAACATTCATAAAATTATTTTGTTCACCTTGCACTACATCTGTTCATTTGATCAATAGCTACTTAAAAATAAAATATATTCTGTATGCAATATTCCAAAGTTAAGTAATTACACAGAATACACATTGCAAACTAACCTCGTCCATCATTAAAATTCCTTCTGTCATCTCTATCAAACCCTCCTCCTCTTCCAGCATCCCCTCGAGGATTATACCTGCCACCCCTGTTGTTGCTTCCAAATTTTCCAAAGTCACTACCATAGGAGTCTGTCACAAGATTGTAAAATTTTGTCATAATTGGACAATGTGTTGATTTTGTGCTTAGCAAATGAAAAACTTAAAATATATGTACAGAATATTTTTAAATTACTAACATCCTGCAAGGATCAGACATGTTGCACGGATTGTATATCATTATACTTTGGTAGCAAAATATTATATTATGGATACTAAACTAACATCTTTTTTTAAGTGATTATTTATTCATTTTCACTGACCATTGTGTTGTTATTATTTTTTTCACAGCCTTACCAGTTTGTTTTCTTCTTAATGTCTGGTAAGATTCTGAAATAATGTGGCTATGGATACTTTGAAACATTGCTTTAAAACTGACAGAAAAATGAAATTTTTCTCCCTTTATTCTTTCACTTGGATAACAGTTAAGAAATCTAGGATTGAATCCCATTTAACAGGGAAATCCCATAGTTCACAAGGTTTTATGATGAAATATCTTAACACTATGTTTTACTACCTGAAAAGCAGAATGAAACCTTACAAACAATCTTTCAATGTTTTTAAAACCTATAGGTAGTAAAAATTAAAATTATAAAAAGCAGGCGGACTCTTCACAAAACTACCTGATATAGATAAGTGTGCTTACACATTTATAAAAAAAAAGTTCAGTATCAAGTTTTATTGTGAAAACAAAGTGACTATTACTAAAAATAAGTTTTTGCAGAAAAAAAAACATCCTGATCATTTAAGTCTTATTAACCTTCATTAAGCTGTTCTTCAACTAACCAAAAATATTGATCACTTGTACTTTGGAACAACTGATACTGGTTTAGGTTTCATTTACATTAAAAAAACACAGATATTAAGAATTGAAAAGGGTATGAAATAGAACAACATTTTAAACAAATATTAGTTCTTTTATATGCATACTAATGCTATACCTTTAGATCCTAATGGAAACAATCCTAGTGGGCAAACCTTCTTTAGCCCACTTGTAGAGGTTAATCTTAAAGATTATAACACAGTCTACAAGTTGTCAGCAACTTGCTGAGCCACTGAAACAATGATAGTAACAAACTTCTCCAGACAACTTTTCGGACTTAGTTGAAAGAATGCCTTGCAAAAATAGCAGTAGTTACTCAGACCAAGGACAGTGCTATACCACATGAGGCCAGAGATTACAAGTGCCTGTATACTTTTAGCAGGGAAGTGAGTGTGTGTTTGCACACACATACATACATACATATCAGAAAATAAATATTTTGTCAAGTTGTAAAATGTATCAACTTGGAACAATACTTCTTACTCTCCTCAGTTTTTTGTATCCTGTACTTTTCTCTTATTTGTTAACTGATTCATCCAGTTCTCAGATGTTTCTAACAGTTTACAATATGACATTCACAAATCTGTTCAATCTTAGCATAAAATATAAAGTTAAAAAGTTATTTGATCTAGAAATAACCAATGTTTGTAATGAAGAGGCATAAAAAAAAAACCATGCACTAAATCAATATGAATGAAAGTTGAGTATAAACTTGCTATTGAATCAAACTACACAGAGCCAGATCATAAAATTCTTACAAATATCTGTTTCCATACTGAAATGTCCAGTTTTCTAAAAGTCCAGAACTTGCAAGATATGATATTATATACTTCTAAAAATTTTTTGCTTTATCTTATTGTACATTTATATCCAACTAAAATTTAGTTACTTTAGTGACACTATATTCATCCCTATGATTACATAAAGTTAGGTTTTAATGTTTGCTTTTAATTAGCTCTGTGTTATCTCTCTAGATATCTAATCTTCAAAAACATTGTGTGAAGGTTTGTCAGTACCAGGATGTAAATGATGGGCCAACAAATCCATAGTCCATCTTACTAACTACCGGGACATGCTAGGCCAACTTTAAATACAACCAGATTGTCATTTAGTAAAAGATGTATTTTAGAAACGTTTAAGCTTAACAACCTTTAAGATACTATCAGAACTGTGTTTCTAAAGTACATATCAGTTGAACAAAGCTTTGCATAAGAATGTTACAATTATACAGCACATCCTTCATGATCAACAGTACTGTATGCCAATAAGTTCTGAAATTAGATTTACATATGGATTATAATATCTGATATACAAAAATAATAACTATAAGTATTAAACAAACAAAATGACTTTTGGATTCCCTCAGTGACTATACAGACAAGCAGCATTCTTACAGTAAGGTGCACATACAATATTAAAAACGTAATCTGAATTACTACAAAAAATCTGAACTTTTGCAATTGGTTCAGATGACAATGTTTGATTATGACCCTTTGAAAAACAATTAAATTTTACTTCCATTATGTTTAAAATTGATCGTATGATTGGATTTTCTCTTCAAGCTTCATTTACAACAACAGATTTTGTTGGTTCTTACACATTACTATTACTACATATAATTAGCAAGAAAGACCAGACAGTCAACTTTTATAGATGGGATTATGGTATATCAAAACAATTTTGAATATGCAAGTTAGCAAGTTACATGAAAACCTCAGCTAAAGTCGTGGTAGAATGTATCAGAACTACATTTCTGACAATGTTTGATGTTATTACGTAGTGTGATGTCACCAAAAATTTATCACTCAGATCATAAAGCTCAGTCAAGATCAGTGATTTAGAATTTCCAAGATGAGAATATCCCTTGTACTTAATGGCATTAGAAAACAAAGAAATATGAATCAACTTGGAACAAGAATTCATACCCCAGCCATTTTAAGCAAAGAGCAGCATCTTGTAACAGGCAAGAAAACATGAAACCAAAGATCAGTGCCAAAGAAGCCCACATGCCACAGTACACAACATAATCAAGAAGGGTCTCTGTATGGAAAAGCAACAGAAGTCATATGTACAAGTTTCTTCAACGACATATTTATTTAATGAGTATATATCAAAAGCTGCTGGAGAATGAAACAGGTATTCATGCTATTCAATATGAAGACAACAACAAAATTGCCAGATGCAGCACCTACAAATTTCTGTGCGAGAGGACTGTTAAAATAGGGGAGTGAGAAAACTGTTGTATTCATAAACTATATGGCATATGGAAAGAAAGCAGAGAGAGGATGAGCTTCAGACATGAAAGCCTTACTAAGGTGCCTTTAGCTATGAAAACTACACAGCAGGCCAATATGCATGGCTGTCAGCCAGAGCATGACCAAATGTGTCAACGAGTAGTGTAACAATATGACGAGACTCCAAAATAGTTTTAATATAACGTATTCAACCTCTACATAGTTATTCTAGTTATTATGAGACCTAATTTCACATAAGTGAGTGCAACAGTCATTAGTCACTAATGTCAACTAAATTTTGATACAAACTATTGAAATGGCTGTCATATCAAAGCTTACATTTTGTGATTGTAATGTTACACAAAACTGATCTCCCTTAAATTAACATACTATAAAAATTTTTCTGCCTGAAAATACTGGGGCAAAAGCTTGAACACTGCTAGCAGCTTGAATTTAAGGTATCTGTATGCCATCCCTTGAGTATTGGATTACTCATTGGTCATGCGAGTGCTATACACTAACATACATACCTGTGGGTGCTTATTTATATATATTTGGCTTTTATTACTCCCTATAAGTGGATAGGCAGAGGTCATTTTCATGATCTGGATGGTAAGTTGTTCATGAATTGTCTACTTTTACTAGAAATTACCACAATAAAACTTTTTTCTAAAACTATGGCAGTAAAATGCATGTTTTAAAAGATTTTCAAATATAGGAATGAACAACCCCTCTAAAGCTATGACCTTCCTTAAATGTTTGTATCTCACATATCAAGGAAGAAATGTTGAAAAGCATACCTACCACAGAGATTACATCTCAAACTGAGTTAGACCAACCATATGTTAGAAACATCTGATAATTTTGATTTACTATAAATAAAACACCATTTAGTTTATGTTTCTAAATTTTGCAATATTGTTTTATTCAATCACATTACTATTCTATTATTTTAGCACAGTGCATATGTCCCTTTTCAAAACAATTTTCAATTTAGTAACCAATGAAAACCAATTTCTTATATACAATTTACAATTAAATACAACATACCATAATCATATATTTCACACACAAAAAGAAACTACAATATCCATATTTATGTTAAAAAATGATTAAAATAATTATATGAAAAATGTTAAAAAGAAAAGACACTGTTAAATGCCATTAGTATCTCAACACCCACCACGACCACGATTATACTGGTTCCTATTATTCCAGTCTTTGTATCCCTGTTCACCTCTATCACGATCTGTCGAGTTGTAGCTATCACGATTATTCCACTGTTGCTGGGTTTCTGGGGGTTGTCTACTTGGTTGCTGAGATGTAATTGGACAGTTTCGAAGATGAGGTGGAACGTAGCGTCCTAAAAATGATATAGTTGTCAAATATTTTGCTACTGCATTTGGTAAAAAAAAAAATAAATCTTTTTTTGACTATACTATAAAGAAATTCACTAGGTCTAGGTACTTTCAAAAATTTAAAAACACAGATTTGCTATGCAGAAAACAAAGTCTACTCAAAAATAGGCAAAACAAAATGCCAATTAAAAATACATGCCTATACAAAGGGGAAGAAATAATTGGGTTTTGCAAAGGTTAAGAAAACAATTTAATAAAATAAATATATAGAAAGAAGGAGAGCTGAAAGGAACTGAAGTTGTTATTTAGACTTGGATGTTCATTTGAGAAACATAGACTTTCTTTGACCAGATTCTCATAGTTTGAAGATCCTGATGTTAGAATTTTGAAGTTATCACTAGGTAAAGGGCATTTTCTAATTAACAGTGTATACGAGTAGGGAAAGTACATGGACTTAGTAGTGTTTCAACAATTCTGCATGAAACTCCTATATGTTCATCTTTTTTACAATTTTTTCTCCATATTAAAACTTGTACTCTTTGTTTTATAGACACACACATATGTATATATCACATACGTTTGTTCTATGAAAACATTTTAGATCACAGATGATAGAATGTGTGAATTCTAAAACATCTGAAAATTAAACATTTTGTTTTACCATGGGGGGGTCCTGTTTTTGATTTAACAATGTATACTATATTTACAACACATGTAATAAATCATCTTTATAAAACATGCTTATATCTTTTAAATTATTCATTTATCTTGACTTCAGCATCCCTTCACAATATGATATTGAAGATCTGAGTATCTTCTTTTAACAGAAAAATCTGAAATAAGATATCACAAAGTAAACCATCTGTAAATTAAAACCTGGGAATAAATAACTTTTCCAAATATACCTAGAGGATATTAATGGGATGTGTCATCCACCTATAACTCTTAGCAAATCATATAATATCAACATTCTACTTAACCCAAACTCCCGGGTCCTGTACACACGAGAATTTGTCAGAACACATTATACTACTCATAACCAATAGAAAGCCAAAGTTTTTCCCTATCAAATAACATACTATTTATATAACTTTGTTGTCTGTACAGAGAATTGTCTATTTTCCTTCCAGTTTGAACTTTATTCTCATGGGAAGCACATCAATGAGCTTAGCTAAACTTTTAACAGCTTTTGTCATACAGTTAGAACGCCAGAAAAATTGTGATAGTTATGGAATATTGTTTCCTTTTTACATGTTATTACTCTGTGTTCTTTGGTGCATTATTTAATTAAATACAAATTATTTAATGCAGTAGTACAATTAGTTCAGGTAAGATAAATAATATAAATATTATTGTTATTATTAATAATTTTTTTGAGGTACGCTAGCAAGTAACCCGTGTGTTATGTAACTAAATTATGTAATGTGATTTGCAATTTATATGGTGCAAATAGTAGGTAGACCCAGTTCAAAGGGCAATAAAACAATAAAAATTAAGTACAAATAGATATATACTGTTACAAGCTTTAAGTTACTTAGGATAAATAATTGTGGTTTTTCTGCTATAATTTGTAGTAATTCCAGAAAGAAAATAGAGGGCATTTATAATTATTTCCTTTTTTTTTCTGGTGGTTATGATACTGGTCTAATCAACCAACCTCATATAGAGTTAGGGTAAAGAAAATAATACACATAAAAGGACTTTATTTTATGACATTTTTTTCCTAAATCACTTCCTTAATGGAGAAAAGGCACTCCTTTCCTTTTTAATAATGTATATCAGTGTTTCCCAAACTTTTCCAACTAGGGACTGGTTTATTTTTGTAATTTTTTTATGAGGCCTGGCCTCCTCAAATACCTAATTAGATAACCCAATAATACACGGCTAAGTCTTAACATCAAGCTGGAAGCAATAGTTCTATCAATACATCATCGATTATAAAATATACTGGTGTTTTATAGTACTACTGTGTAAAAAGAAATTATATTTCATTGTTATTTAATCTTCACATTAATTGTATATTTATTAATGCTCTTTTAAGAAATAAACTTCCTAATGAGAAGGATGATGCTGTTTTTCATCACACAGCAACTTCAAATCATGAGGAAAAGAAGTCAACATCTAATCTGTTCCTGTACTTGTTTTTTAAGAAAACCAATGCTGAGAAGCCTGATTCGCATTTATAAGTTATGACAAAGGGCATAAGAAATCTCACTGCTTTTTCTGATAAATTTAGATACTCAGCATGACAGCTCATCCAAATATTAATTAACAAGACTCGACTAAAACAGTTTTTCAGTGCGGTGTCACAGGACAGTTCAATAATAGAATCAATTTCAGATTCACCAAGTTGTAATCCCTCCTCATTTTCCATGTCAACAGTAAAAGGGTTCCTAATCCACATTTTACTGCTGTCAATTGGAGAAAAATATTCCTTCAAGCCTGATTTTAGCCACAAAAGATGCTCTTTGATTGATGAGGAAATCTCATCTGGAATATTACCTTCTTCATCTTGGTTTTGTAATTCTATTAAAGTAGAGAAAGACTTATAATTTCTCTTCTCAATTTGATGTACCCACAATTTTTTTTGCTGCTTCTATCTTCTCCTGGACATTAATAATATTTATGTTAGCACCTTGAAAATTTAGATTTAATGCATTTAAGAAGACAAAAATGTCACATAAATAGGCCACCTTCATTAACCAATGCAAATTATGAAACCTATCTCTAAATTCAAATACTGAATCCTTTGCTGATAGGTGATGTTGCTTCAAAAACAAGATAACTTCATTCTTTATTTTGATGAGTCTTTTTAAGACATTTCCTTTTGATAACCACCGAACTTCACAGTGTAATAGATGCTCGTGTTCACTTCCTAATTCTTTGCACAAAGCAGTAAAGATTCTGGAATTCAACAAACAAAATTTTATATAGTTTATGAATTTAATACATTCTTGCATAGTTGAATTCAAAAGTAAGGGCATTTTCTTCACAGCTAATGCCTTTCTGTGAATGCTACAATGTACCCATTCACAGTCTGGTACCACTGCTCAGATCCTCTGGAAAACTCCTGTATGGGAACCTGCCATTGAGTGATCACCATTGGTACTCAATCCAACACATCTTTTCCATTGAATACCACTCTGAATTATAAAATTATTGATTAAATTACAAATTTCACCAGCCATTGTTCTTGTTGGAAGTGGTTTACAAAACAATAAATCTTCATGTATTGTGTCCTTATAATCATTTATTACAAAACACATTATATTGCCATTATCTGCAATGTCTGTGCTTTCATCCACTTGTAATGAAAAAAAAAACTGACAACAGTGAACTCGACATATAAGAGTTTCTTCAATATTTTTGCCATATCCACAATTCTACATTTCATTGTATTATTAGATAGGGACAGTAAATTCAACTGATTTTCTTGTTTTTATAAACACGAGACGTAATTATTTTTACAGCAGGAAGTATTAATGCTTCACCAATACTATCGGATAACCTGTCTCGGCTATTAGTTCTGAAATTTCATATGAGGTCATAACCAAGTCTTCATTGGAAGATCTCGTGGAAAAAATGTGTGAAATTATTTATTTGGAAAAAGCTATTTCATTTTTCTTATTTATGAAACAATCTATTGGCTTACTCCTGAGTATTCTGGACATCTGGTATCCAAGTGGCATTTCAGTTTTGATGGTTTCATGCTCTCATTTGATAATGTTGAACAACAAAGAACACATAGTGGCAAGTCATTATTGCTACCACCACTTATAAAACCATACTTGAAATATTCATCACAATACTGTTGAGACCAAGAGGTCTTGTTTTCTTTTCTTTGATACCAAGCTGCATATCACTTAAATGTTTATAATTAGGACTATTATTTTCACTAACTTCAGTTTCACTAGAACTTGGCTGCATTTGTGCATCTCTTGAGGTTTTCTCTTGTGATGCATGTTTCTTCAGCCATCTATCCATATTGGAGAGGGGTTTTTCTTTAAAATGAACAACTTAAAAAATGTTTAGTTAGTACAAATTAAGTCACAAACAATTCTCTCTCTTCTCAGAACAAACTAACACTTCTAGCACCAGCCACCAGCAACTTGTCTGCTGCCACCTGGCACTACCAGACGCAAGACTCAGGTCTTGCATGCCTTAAATTTCCATTAACGGAGTAGACAAATTTAACACATTTGGAATAAAATTCCTGAAACTTTGGTGTCGAATGAACAAATTGTCCTTTAATGTGAGACAAAATCCCTTTTTTGATCTTACCTGCAGACAGGGGAAGATCGGCTTAGACTCAGCAGGAGGACGTGTCTAGTTAACATGTGGTTTTAAATTTACAGCATTTCACAAGAATCTCAAAGTTATCAACACCATAAAACTTAATCTTAGGCTCTATAAATTGTACTAAGTGAGAACACCTTAATTCCTGAAACTATAAAGGCAGCTGTCAGCTTGTGAATTCTATAGTTCATAGCCTTAAGTACAAACTTTCACTTTTCCTTCCTGTTATATTAGCTTAATTGAAATACTGAGAAATCCAAGTTAGATGAAATGAAAATTTAAATTATAATGTATTTAAAAATATTAATTTTATTAGAATATATTTATATCAACTGGTTTAATAACATTTATCTATAACATACAACAAGGGCTTGTAGAAAGTTTAAAAATGATGGTTGGTAGTGAAAGGTAGTTTTCTGTAGACCGTCATTTTTCTTTTTACATGTACTGGTATTGGGTTGCGGAAACACTGATGTATATTAATTTTGTACACTTATTATTATTAATGTAATTAATTTTTTAATAAAACTTCTAAAATTGTGGTAAAGTGAATTTAATGCAGAATTTAAAAGCGAGTCCTCTTAGTGGGGAATCATTGTGATATTGTTTATGCTGGAAAATTCAAGCATCAGCTATAAATTGAATTGTTTTGTGACCAAAAGAATAGCAAGTCCTTCGTAAAGAGTTTGTTACATACGAACTTGCAGGA